CGGTCTCGGACGTGGCTTTGGATGGAGAAGCGCTATTACTCCCAAATTCTCCATCCTCCCCACGTCGCATGATCTTCCGCGGCAGGACCGCTGGGGGAGGAGGCGTCTCGGCATTGGTTTCCGGAGCAGCGATACTAGCAAGCGACTCAGGCACTCTGGCATAGGGGGTTCTGAAGATTCGGACAGATCCCACACGAGCTTCATATTGATGCGTCATACGGTAGTAATCAGCCAGCTTATGTGTGAGCATCCGACAAAAGGAGTTTGAAGGCGGGAAGTCCATGTATGGGTCTCTGATATCGTTGTTAACGACTGTACGTACCCTAATTCATTCTGTCGGGTACTCACTTGGAATTTTGAACAAACTTGATCAGTTCGGCCTCCAACCGCAACAGGAACAGCCGATCCTTCGGGGAAGCCATAGCCTCTAACAGTTTTTCATCCGGTGCCTGTCCGTAGATGGTATTCAAGAGATTGGCAGAATCTGGGAGGTTGGTGGACAGGGCGTTGGGGATGGGCATCTGTGGTTGATCTGACGAAGCACTCTGGGGTGTGATCATGCCTTGGCTTAAGGAGCCAGAGATGGGCTGGGCGAGACGGCGGTCTGGCATATCGCCAAGCTGGATGATGCCTCTCGCACGCGCCGCAATATCGGAGCCCATTCTGGAGTTTGGTAGATTTGGCCCCCGGAATGAGAAGGAATCGTCATCCTCGGCAGCGGCGGCTTTGACGCTGGCGCTGTCATCCGGCCGCAGGGATTCCTTCTCGTCCAGCGCAAAGGTCGTTCCCGATGTGATGCTCTTTCCGTCCAGACTGGGAGGCTTGGTACCGAGCTCCGAGCTGGAGTCAGCTCTCTGGGAATCGTCCGATCCATCCTTGGTTATCGATTTTGATCGCTCAGCAAACGAAGAGCCCGTTCCATTCACAACAAGGCTCGGAGTCGGTTGTCCAATGTTTAAATCCTTCAATCCATCCAACACGGCACCGGTCGCATCGGGCTTCTTGGGTAGGGTGGGTTCGCGCTTGGCGACAGTCGGCGCAGATTTCGTGGAGTTCATGATCGCGGATTGGCGAGTATCAACTCCTTCTGAAGTGGTAGACGCGGGTATAGAGGCAACACCGGTAGGGGAAGCTTGGCTGGGACGGTCTTGAGCTGGCGCAGCAACTGGTCTGACGGTAGTGACGGGTTGAGAATCTTTTGATGCCGATGCAGCGACCTGGAATAGCGCAGAGATTGTCAGCATTCATTACTAGGCAACTACTGAGCTTTGAGAACGAGGGGTATCTCAGGAGCAAATCGCACCTTTGCAAAAGACGGCTTAGGAATGGCAGACGACAACTGGGCTGTAGCCATAGCCGGAGTAGAAGATCGGAGGATGGCTCAACTTCAGCCGTGGGTAGTAAGATGGAAATGAAAGTCGTCCGCTGAAGTAGCTTCGCGCAGGTAGGATGGTAGGCGCGCGACGAGACGAAATAAAAGTCCAGGTCGAAAAAGGATTAAAGACGAGGTCCGAAAGCAAGAAACAAACTGTATCAAGGCGAGCCTGCAGAGGAATAAATACCGTGGATCATCGTCGGGACAAGCTCGTCATCGTAGCTGTTGTATTCCTGAATGTTGGATGAATGATGGACCCAGTTCCTCGCTGCAGGGGAGAAATGGGAGTTGTCCGTTGCGTGTTGCGTGTTGCGTCGAGTAGATGTGCGCCTGAGTGGCTGTCCGTTAGTGGTTGTAGGAAAGGTTTGGTTGCAGGAAGCTGGAAGATAGGCGCGCAGCGGATGAGACGAGGCGACGTGAAATTTTGGCGGCCTGCGAGGCGGATAGTCCGTCACGGGCTTGGGGGAGAGGGGTGTGGTGCGGGTGGTGTGGTGCAGACGATGGTTTAAGGTAGTGGGAGGGAATTGGCAGAGCTGTGGTGTGGGTTTTTGGGATTGCGCTGCAAAGGGAAAAAGAGAATGGGGAAACTGGAGAACGGAGCCAACGACTTGACTTCTCAGCTTTTGGCTCACTCACCCTCGGTAACTTGTAGTGCGAGATCACTCACTCACTCACACACTCGCTCACTCGCTCACTTGCCCAGTCCAATAGGTACTGATATCCGTAGTCTGATGACAACCTTATGTCTCAATCTCTCTCACTTGTGTTGCGTGAGGCCCTCGCTCTCTCTCTCTCTCTTTCTGTCTCTTCCTCTCTCAGTTGCTATCTCCGGTCGCAGAGACGTGGGGGAGAAGCGGGAAGCTTCAGTGCAGGCAACTCCCAATCGAGCGGACAACGGTCTCAAGTCGGTAAAAAGTGGTGTCAGACGGCTGCCATCCCCTCCGCAACGTCTTGTGGGACGTCAAGCTGAAGAGTCGGGTGGTGATTGGGATACGGGAATTCTGATGAGCATCAAGTAGGTCTCGGGCCTGGGTAAGGTAGGGTAGGTTGGCTGGCGAGAGACAAAACGACCATAGGCTGTGCCGAGAGTGGCTTAGTGCCGGCAGATTCCTCACGGAAACCTTAGGTTTGTGGCTGGTGCAGCTGAGGCTGGTGCAAGTTTTCCGATCAATCCCTCCACTTTACATAACCATCCGACTTACCCAAACCTCATCTCTCTGTCGCTGTAGCAAACCACATTCGGCAGACCCGATTACAACTGTAATACAGCTGACAGCGGCGAAACACGACAACATCTGTCGCTAATAATAAAAACACCAGTGTTGCACCGGAGTCTCGAATTCCAAGCGAGAAAACGGAAGAAAATCTCATCTGCTTGATCTCACCGTACCGGACTACGGATCGCCATCCAGACTTACAACAGTGCGATTCCGACAAGAGCCCGATTGAGGACGCCAGCGTAACGTCAGCCTGAATACTATTCGGTGATCTCTTCGTTCACGGAGCCGGCTTATCCAATGCACCCCTACAGAGGTCGTGGCGGACCTCGCCAATCCACCCCAGCAAACGTCCAATGTCAAAAGTGTCTCAAAAGAGATAAGTCTACAAGCAAGCGATACATTACAAACATTAAGCTGACTCTCACAGAACGTCACTACTCGTATGAGTGCAAAGAGTCGGCTACGGCCCGACCATATGTGTCTCGGCCGTCCCGAACTCAACAGCTGCGCAACCCGAAGCTGGTGCCCAAACTGACAAACGATACGCCAGATGACGCGCAAAGAAAGTCAGTAGCCCATCTTCGTTTGTATGTTATGTACATTGTAGCTAATTCGTGGTGTAGGAAAGGAATTGCTGATGAGGAGCTCGCGAAGAAGGAAGCTGAGAGAGCGAGAAAGAGGGAGCTAGACGAGAGAGACGACGAACTCATCAGGCAAACAGAGACCAAACGCAGACGATCCGAGTCTGTTGACTCCGTTTCCACCATCTCAACGAACCGCTCCGCCTCGCCCCCGCCTAGGCGGCGCTCACCGTCTCCCGCCCCTGCTCCGCGGAGACAGAGATCGTTCAGTCCAGAGAGTGACGATGGTCGCTCTGTATCAAGAAGGTCAGCAGCAAGCAGACGGACTCAGTCTCCGCCTCGACGCCGCCAGAGATCTCTTTCTCGGGACAGTCGTTCACCCGTTGGAACTCAGGAGCAAAACTATCGTCAGAGAGATGCGGACCACGCTAGACCTACCGCCAGGGGTCAGGCGCGCTACTCGCCCGATTCCAGGGATTCTTCAATCTCAGGACGTGGCGTGGATGCTGTTGGCAGCAGACGGTCGTTGTCAAGGTCCCCCGATCGGCGTGGTGCGATGCCACAGAGCGGCCCAAGTCGACGTGCTGGCAGGAATGACGGATATCGAGATGACCCTCAGCCTGGACTGGGCCGAGGTGGTGGGAACGAAAAGCAGAGTCGTGGATCTGAGCGACAGCCAGAGCGAGAGCGCAGTCTCAGTCCATTTTCTAAGAGACTGGCGTTGACACAGTCCATGCATAGGTAGCTATTGGGTATCAATTATCTGTAGGCCAAATGGAGTCTAAGCCTGCTCCGCAACCGTAAAATACAAGGGCGTTCTACCACTCGCGCCGTGGTTTGCTGCTTTAAACAGCCAGATCTTCATCCTCTTCATCTGCCTTCTCTCGTCTCTCGTCCTCTTCTTCCCTCTCGCGCACGCGCACTCCTTCCACTAATGCGATACCATCAATTCCAGCTGCGTCGCCCTCCCTGCTACCCGCTTCGAGCTGCTTGGCTTGTGTGACCGCCTTCTGAGCACCTGTGATGCGCTCCCTCACCAGCTTCGCAATGGCATTGTCCGTCCGAACGTTGAGGATCTCCAGCTTCTTCTCCAAGTCTCTCTTCAGGTCCCAATTCGGCTTTTTCGGTTGAAGCTTGAACAGGTCGATACCCTTGTCGTCCTGCGCTTCTTCGGCCGCTTTTTGCTTTACATCCGCCTCAATGTCTGCCACGAGCTCCTCGAGCGTTGGGTTTTCGAGGTCTTGGGTCGGGGGTGCCTCGAAGCCAAGCTTCGGGCCGCGCGTTTCTGGATCGTAATTGCGCCCGGAAAGGTGCAGTTTTGTGACGTCTGGCTCTGTTGGGGGCGAGGCTGCGCGTTCTGACTCTGGCGCGACGATCTCGTCCGCCGGTTGTTTTCTCTTGAGGTTCTTGAGCTTTGCGAGGCGCGCTTTGCGCTCGTCTGTTACCGCGCTTAGGGTGGCTTGGCTCGACATAATGCTAGAATGGGTAGAAGTTTCGATGGGGTGACCGGTATTGCGGTAGGATGGTCGCGGGTTCTTCGAATTGAGATGTAGGCGAGGCTATAACTTTTGGCGAGCGCGTTGATCGAGAGTTTGATGGTTGAAAGTTCAAGTTCGGCTTGTAGTGGGGCTAGAAGTCGGCGAGGCATTGCTACCACGGCGGAATGCTTCCACGGAATGCGCTAGCGGATGCACGGTCTTCCATCCTTCAAAATCGCATTTAGCTCGCCAGGGGTCTAGGGGAAGCTCCCGTCTGTCGCCGAAAAAAAAATCCCAGGTCAACGACTGCAGCCGCGACAGACCGATACCTTTATTCCCAATGCTCCAGGACAGTTAACGAACATTACGGTTGCGCCGTTATCGCTCGAATGCCAGCGAGGCTATTCATACCCGTAACGATCGGATACTCTGGCCTGGTTTCTGCCAACGCCCAAACACTTTACCTGCGATGTCGCACTCCTTAGTATGCCGACAATGCCTACCACTCATCCGACAACGTAGCAGCCTCGCAGCGAATAGCCATATCCAGACCTCCTTACACGCTCGAAATAATACCACGTCCGCCATAGAAACCTCCACAGAACGGCCGTTTCGAATTCGCAAAATAAAAAGATTAGTCACGCCGGGATCAGGAAATGCGCCAACGCCTATCGGAGCACCAATAAAGGCCGAAGCAAGCCGGAGGCGAACAGATTTCACGTCCAAAAACGTTGATACATGGTCGCCTAAAAATGAAGGAGAGAGGAAGAAGAAGTACGAGTTCACATCTGGAAACGCCGACACATGGATTTCTGAGCTCGTGAAGGAGAGGAAGAGGAGATACCTGGAATATGGGTACCTACGCCATCGCATGACCAAGAAGGAGCTGAAAGACTTTGAGAACTGGAAAAACGACTGCAAGAGGCTCTACGGATTCGCATCTTTCGGAGCAGGCTACAAAGTCCCAAAAGTCCTCAGCTGGGTTCAGGACCGGCAAGCCGTTGAAGACGCGATCGAGCAATGGACGACTTGGACTGATGAGCAGAAGAAGACAAAGTGGCGAAAGCTCATGTTCTCTGCTTTATGGTCTTGCCCTGATCGAGCTGCGGCCATCCTCGAAATCACCACCCGCGATATCAAACCGCCAGGTTACGCCATCAGCGACGCTATTCACTTCATCGCAAAATGGCAAAGTCAACTATCCGGGCCTGAATACATTAAGCAGAGAAGACATCTTTGCAACGTGGCTGTGACGGTCTTCGAGCGCTTTCCTGCGGGCTATATACCTCTGAGGCAAAACACCATCTACATGCTGACGCATGAAGTAGAATTGCCCATTTTAATTTCCCTATACGATTGTTGGAGGGAAAGGGATGTCCAATTCCACAGCAATACTCTCCAAAACATGGCCAGACGACTTGCAGTCAGCCCTTTGCATAAGAAGTTGGCTCTACAGTTGGCCATCGAGTCTATCCCAGACCAAGGTGTTGATCTCGACTCAGGGCTGTGGGCATCTTTGTGCACCTCCATCTTGAGTCTCAAGCGTGGCCAAATCAACGTTGAAGACGGCTTTTCAGCTGCAGACGCATTTGTCACCCTGTTAGAGCATGGCTTTGCCCCCAATATGGTTCACTATACGGCAGTGATCAGATCGCTGTGCCTGACAGATCAAAACGACGTTGCAGGGGAGGTCTTCCAGGTTATGCAACGGCACAACTTTGAACCAGACATCATCATGTGGTCTACTCTGTTAGACGGAGGCAAGAGGGCTCTTTCACCTTCGAGCATCGAATCTGCCGTCATGGGAGCTGTCGAGAGCAACGAGATCGATGTGCCCTTCTTGAATGACCTCCTGATGTGCCTACTTCACTTCTGCAAGTGGACGCCCGGCATCATGCCGGCTTTTGGGCCGATGCTGCACTTCTACTCAAAGGTGTTCCATTTGGCACCATTGCAGGCACTCCTTCCCGTGGACTTGTCAATGTACCTGGAAGGCCAGGAAGGCCTTCAGATGCCAGCGGACTGGGAGTTGGCCCGCCAACTATTTCCCGCACTCGACAGGGCCATGTCCGCCGTCCATGAGAAGATGGAACCAACGAGCTCAACCCTGAGCATCATGTTCCTCGCCTACGTGAGGAGCATGTCGCAGCCTATCAATCTCATTTCGTTATACGCGTACCTCAGACAGGAGATTTTGAAGGGCAGCCACGGCGCCACTAAGCTGGTCCAGGAAAAGGGGACCTTCATGTACGACGTCCTTATCAAGGCGCTCTGCAAGCACCCAGGCATGCTCCGTGCTGCTTTGGATATCGTTGGTGACATGCTCAAGTACACGCTTGAAGAGCGGAGCAAATCAGTGGAGGCGGCAAAGCAATCCTCGAAGGGGAGGAGGGAAATCCAGAAGACTGAGGTCAAGGAGATTAGCGAGGTTAAGGAGAGCGAGGTTCAGGGCAACGAAGTCAAGGAGACCAAGATCGAGGTTGCTCCAGCGCCACTGCACCCCGCCCCGAGCGTCTTCACCTGGAGCATCCTCCTGCACGGCTTCAGCCAGGAAAAGGGCTCCGGCGACCGGATCCTCGCCCAGATGCGCCAGCACGGCGTCGAGCCGAACCTGGTGACCTGGAACACCCTGATCGCCGGCTACGCCAGGGCCCAGGACGTCAACAAGACGGTGCTGTCCCTCCAGCGCCTCGAGGCCTCGGGCCACGAGGCGGACGACTTTACGCTGCGGGCTTTCTCGCGGTTGGTCAACAGGGAGGCCGCGCTGAGGAAGATGGAGAACGCCCTCTCGCGGAGGGCGACGCTAGATGAGATGAAGAAGCTTGAGGAGCAGAGGATGGCTGAGCTGCCGCTTGGTCCTGAAGTGAAGGGGAGGCTTAGTGTCCTGTAGTCAGGCGATTTGAAGGGCTTAGGAGCTGACGAGACGTTGAATTATTTTGAATGGCAATATACCCACTCTTCTTATCTATCTCAGATGACGCGCAATATCCGACTGCTTTGGTTTGACTGTGATTCTGTGTATGCTATCGGGTTCTTTTATCTACTCTCCGAGCTTCGCATACGGGGTTAGTCCAATCCTTGGATATGTCCAAGTGGTGTTCCCAGTCACGCAGCTGAAATCAACTTCGAAGGGGAAGGGCCGATTCGATGCACTTGGGTTCAAATAGAAGCCGGTGCAGACTTGTTGAAGCCGCCAGCAAACATGAAGTTCGGTTTTAGTGACTTCGCGCCATCAATCTTTATACATTGACAACTCGACTTGGAGTTACCTCCCAACTCAATCTTCTTGACATTGGAGAACGCAGTCTCATCCTATGTGTGATGCTGTATTGTAAAGTGAGTGCTGAGTAGCAGATGGTAGTAAGCGGTGTTGAAATTAAAAAAAAAATAAAAAATAAAAAAACCTATAGCGAGGAAAAGTAACATGGACCCATGACGGGATGAGCATGAAATCAGCAAAAGCGGCAATGTCAATTTCATGAAGAATCGCGCAATGTGACCTCCTGTCTCGACAGCGATCACCATGGCTTAGTGTCCCTCGTGTCCCTCGTGTCGAGGGGTTATTGTATCTCTCTGCCGCTCTTGCATTACGAACTTCAAATATGTTGTGCGAGAATCAGATAGACATCTCCTCTTCTCGGACGTCTAACCATCTCTCCGCCTCAATACCTGGTAGTCTGTTAAGAATGACGTCTTATGCGGACAAGTGCATTGCTTAGCACTAGGACAACTGACACTTTGGGAATACTAGCCCAACTTCGCATTTCATCCCATTCTCTAACCGTATGCCCTTACCCTGTGTCTTTGTCATCACCATCAGAGCACCAGAATGAGTGATCGATCCGATCTGCTGCAGACCTTCTAAGCTTGTTCACTAGAGCGTCAGATCACACTCACCCACAATTGGATGAGACAACTCTTATGATTTGCTAATCTTCTCGAAGCGGGCCTGCTTGGAACCCTTCGTGAAGCGGAGGCGTGCTGTCGTTAATAACATAGTTTCTTGGCGATTCGAATACCTGACACGAAGCTCAACTATCTTGCTGTGAGCAGTGGCTAACGTGCGGCAGGACTTGCCATACATCCTACCCGCTACTGGGCACGTACGAGCCGCGCTCAGCTTCGAAGGGAAGCTTTCTCTTCGGAACAAGCTGCTAGCTGGTTAAGGGCCAGCTCTGTCACAAGACTGAGAAGATATCGCGGCATGCCAGGTGTTAGGGCGTACATCAATAACTACTTCACCGTGCAAAGTTGAACCAGGAATCCTGACATTCGACGTATGCTTCATTGACCGAGCCTCGCTTTCGTAGCTACAATTGGTGTGTATATCATTACAAATCCATTGCCCAGCCCCTGGCCGCAGTGGCCTGACGCAACGAGCAATTTAGAAGCCTCCCACCCTCTTGACGAGGCCATACCAAGCACTGAGCATGGGCTTTCAACCCTTCTCTGCTCTGACGGAACGCTGCAAGAACGCCCCACCCCCCTATTTTGTTTTCCTTATGTGAGCTTCTGCTTGATGAAGAATGACCGCAGGTGAGACAGTTGCCAGGTGCAAGTAACAGCGAGAACAGTGAGCTGGATGAGCATCCATCTGATGACACGGGCGTTGGTGGATTCGGACTGGTCTCTGAACTCGGCTTCGCGTTCCTAATTTGTCTCCCGTTAGCATCGCATGGTACCTGAATACGCCATTGGCGCTATAGCGCTACCTCCCCCGTCCCAAAATGGGGAAGACGTTTCATTCTAGGCTCGGATAGTGGGAGACTTACACGCTGGAAGACTTGCTCTCTGCGAATATCCTGCAGACGAGCGTTGAGGTCCTTGACGCGGGTCGCGATATCCTCGAGCTTGCTCTTGTCGGAGCTCTCGATTTCGGTGCTCTCACCAATGGCGAGGTCGAGCGTCAGGCGGATACCACCGTTGTGGGAGTGGAGCGAGAGCCAGCCGGCGCGGCCAGAGGTGGAGGACGGGGTGAAGCAGAGCATGTGGTCGCCGGCGTCGGCAGCCGTGAAGGTGAAGCGGCCTGATGCCTGGCCACGCTGGGAAACTACACGGTGATCGTTGTCGAAGGTTTCCTATGCGGTGTAATAGTCAGCATGGATGTCTCGTTGCCATCATGGACAGGGCAGTGGGAGTGTCCCAGGTGCCCATAGCTACGTGGTAGCTCCAAAGGGGGGTCATGCGAGACCAAGGGGGTTGACTTACATCAACAGAGATGTAGATGCTGAGACCATCGTGCTTGGCCCACTGGTTGATCCGGTCATCCCACTCCTCGGCAGTGTAGTGGCCAACAACGAGCGTGTCCTTGGGGAGCTCCTCGAAGAAGCACTTGGGCGAGGTGCCGTCAATGTAGAAGTACAGCGCCTGGGCGACTGCGCTCAGTGAGAGCAATGGGAGAAATGGCCTCATGTTGTCGATGACGGAAGTTGACTTCGAAAGATGGAGTTTAGGGCGAGCCGCAGGTATATCGGGGCAGGGTCGACTCGAATTCGTGGTGCTCGTCGTCTGTCGGCTGTCGAGGGGGTTGAATTGGAGATGCTTCGTTTCTTCGAGTCGACAGCGCCAGGTCAGCCAGTTCGCTCGGGTACCCACCCACATTAAAGTCCCAGGGTGCGCGGGAGCAACTTGCAAAGCTGCCACGTTCGAAAAATTGGTGGTGGAACAGGGGTGGCATTGACCACTGCTTGGGACCTTTGGGGGGACGAAGTGGATCACGTGCGGTCTCCAAACGACAGACTGCGCGCCTGCCAATGCGACGTTCGCGTCCAAAGAAATGTAGTGCCCTTTGGATTCGAGATTTCGGAGACATTGAAGAACAGAAACAAGTTTGATCCTCCGCATTTCTTTCTCAGAAACCACACAATAAAACCACGAAGACGACTTTAATCAACGATATCGCCTGAAAAGACCTCCATGATACCCGTTTCCTTGATGCATGTACGAAACCCAGCGATAAATTGATGCCATCGAGTAGACTAGTGGCAATCGTCAATCGAAAAATAAAATCCGCCCTTCCGACCGGTCGCGCAGCATCGCAGCCACTTTCCTACCGCCCTCCCTACCTGCCGCGACAATGACGTCCTCCGACGTGCGAGACGTTCTCAACCTCCCCGACAGCCACGCAGGCCCCCGACCGGCGAAGAAACAAAAGACATCCGGCCCGCGCCCGAATCTCAAGGGTCTTGCCCGTGAGGTCCAGAATCTGGGCGGCGACAACCCGATCGCCATCGTCCCCGAAGTATCGATATTCAAGAAGCGGCGATTCGCGAGCAGGAAGCCGGCGACAAAATGGGAACTCAAGCCCTTCACAAACTCGGCACGGGGCGACAGCGGCGCATTAGTGCTGAAGCACTGGAAACGCAAGACACCAACGGCTACGGAAAATGGGCAGCAAGGTGGCGACGCCGACATGAAGGACGCGGAAGGAGAACAACAGGCGGCGGTTAAACCCGAGAACTCCATGTTTGCGAAATTCAACGTGGAGGTGGATGTGCCACAGTATAGCGAAGACCAGTACCGGACGAACCTGCAGAATGACGACTGGAGCAAGGAGGAGACGGATTACCTGCTAGGTCTGGTGAAGGACTTTGATCTGCGGTGGCCGATCATATGGGACCGATACGACTACTTGCCAGAGGCGATCAACGGAGAGGCGTCGGCAGACGGGGACGAGAGTAAGGCTATCATCCCCGTGCCGAAGCCAAGGACGATGGAGGACCTCAAAGCGCGCTACTACGACGTCGCGGCAAAGATGATGGCAGTTCAGAAGCCCGTTCAATACATGACGCAGCCCGAGTACACCCTCCACGAGCTCATGGCCAACTTCAACGCCAACCAGGAGAAGCAGCGCAAGGACTTCGCCAACAACGCGCTGACAAGGAGCAAGGAGGAAGCCAAAGAAGAGGAATCACTACTGCTGGAGATCAAGCGCATCCTCGCACGCAGTGACCGCTTCAACGAGGAGCGTCGGGAGCTGTACAACCGCCTGGACTACCCACACACTGACCAAGACATTAGCGCGTTCAAGTCCAGCGCCGGTCTACAAACTCTACTGCAGAACCTGATGAATGCCGACAAGTCCAAGAAGCGGAAGTCGCTTATGGCAGCAGACGGCGTCAGCCCCTCCGCGCCTGCCGGTCAACAGCCCGCAGCAGCAGCGGCGGCGGCAACGGCCGCATCATCAGACAACAAAGACCGCCGCGAGAGCATCGCTGCCGCGGCGGCCGCTACGCCAGCGGAGAAGACACACAAGGAACCTCCCAGCAGCGTCGCGCAGACGCCGACGGCGCCGACCGGCGGAAAGAAGGGCCAGCAGCAGCAGGAACGCCGCAAGCTCTCCGATGCCGACATGCACGTCTACGGTGTCACGCACCACGACCGCCTATCCAGCGGACCGACGTTCCGCTACGAGAAGATCAACAAGCTCTTCACACACAAGTCGAACCAGCAGCAGCTGCGCATCATGAACACGCTCAACGAGCTCGACATCCCGCCAAGGCTGGTCATGCCGACAGCACCGGTAACAGCCCAATACGAGCTCTTGCTCGGCGCCGTCAACAGTCTGCTCGACGCTAGAAAGGTCACGGACAAGATTGACGCCGAGATCAAGCTCGAGCTCGCCAAGAAGGCGGAGCGCGAGAAGGCGAATCAGCCGGAAGCGGACCCGGCTGCCGAGAAGAAGGAGGGCGAAGGCCAGGGCCAGTCTACGGATGAGAAGAAGGACAAGGCCGCCGCAGGGGGCGAGAGCGAGGGCGAGACAAACGCTGAACCCTCCGCAGCCGCTGAGCCCGCCAAGGCTGAACAATCCAAGACTAACGGGGATGCCGCCGGTGGAGAGGCAACTCCAGCTGCGGAAGCGGATAAGGCAACCGCTGCTGCTGCGCCGGCCGCGACGGAGGAAGGCAAAGAGGATGCGGAGAAGGAAAAGTCGGCGCGGCCGGGGAGTAGTGGGGCAACACATAAACGGAGCGCGAGCGTCATGAGCGCCGGAGGCGAGGAGAAGAATGCCAAGAGGCAGAAGAAGTGAAGGAAGTGAAGGTGATGTACCATCAAAGTACCGTCAGACAACCAGGTACTTTTGAGTACTTTGCCTCGCTACGCGCCGTGACGAGATGGATGAAGTGCCTTCCGATATGTATAATCACACACAAAGATGAGATTGAAGTTTGAACCTCGAAGAGTCATCTCCGCGCGTGACCAACCACCCCCTTCCTCTTGGACCGGGGGAAGGGAAAAGGAAATGCGAGCGCCAAATATCGGTGTGAGGATATTGGTTAAAGGACCGCGGCATGTTTGGGAACTTGGGAGTGTGGATAGGGACGGGACGAGAATGTCTTCAAAGTTCATTGGGTATCGGGCAAAGCGAAGTGGACAAGCCGCTGCCGCCGCCTCTCTCTCTCTCTGGGGTTGGTTAGTAAAATGTACAAAAGCTTGAAACAAGGAAAAATGAGAAACAGGACTGCTGCTACTTTGCCCGACGTTGCGAGGTAAGGTATCTTTGCTTCACGTGGGCAATGTGACCGGGGGTACGTCTGGATGATCTGCCCATGTCTAGATGATGTGTGTGCCCTTGTCTTTTGTGGGATGAAGTAGCAATGGGAAAGGAGGGAAGGGACATGAAACGAAAACCGCCGATAGGTAAGGTAGGTATGCAGAAGTGTCAGAAGACTGGCGGTGGGCAAATATCGAAATGCTTGCATCTCGAGGTAACCTTGTCGGTTTCGCCCCGCGCTTACAAGTGTGTGTATAGATATCGTGTAAGTGTCTTGTTACAATGATATTATGCCAGGGGTAGGGAGTACAGGGAGGCAAATTTGACAACTCAAAATGGAGAAGTAGAACAACTCTCTCTGCAGTTCGCTTCTTTTACAATTATAATTGCGGCGAGGAAGAGGTGGTTGCGAGAGATAAGGGACGCTTCGGTGTAGGGGAACTCATGAAGTTCAACGCGGGACGTGACGTCTCATTAAGCAAGATGCAGCTCATCGGCGGCTGCAGGTGAGGCTAATCATCTTAATATAGCAACGGCAGCTAAAAATATCGACGCGGAGAGCGGTTACGGTTGGGGAGGTGACTGATCATGGCATGCCGCTTGCCTCGGAGCCGGGTCCTGTAGTTTGCTAGGAGGGGGGAGGGGGGGAGAATTGATATGACCGCACGAGGCTGCCAGGGCCCTTTAGATCTCCGGACCCGCCTTTGACGAGACTAGCTAGTCCAAGATGCAGATGATGGCGGTGAAGGTCTTCGTGCCACGATCGTGCTTTTACTGATTTCAGGGTCCTACTTTTGCTGTGGCCACGGAGGGGGGGGGGGGGGGGGTGAGTGAAAGGCGTCAAGGTCAAGCCGCGTGCCGCGCAATGGACCTAATTGGCAATCTCGAGATCTTGCCTGCAGGGGAGAAGAGTTTCATACGTATGGAGAAGGAAGTGAGATGAGGTTAAGAGCAGGAGGCGTTGACGTCGGCGTGACGCCGGGGAACAATAGGTTCGGCTCTGTGTCTGGCCTTGGGTATCCTGGGCGCCGGTTCGTCGTGACGCTGTCGTCATGCTCGACGGCGCGGGATGTCTGGTCGCTTGCGTACCTTGCAGGGTCAGGAAGCTAGAGTCCTAGACATGTAGCTGCTCGTCCGGCGCGTACGTCGCACGGCGCGGATACAGGGAGTAGATTGTAGTCAGGTCTTTGGGGAAAGGGAGATCTGCAGGCCGCTTGGCCAAAGATCCCAGGGTCAAGAGCGGAACATGCTGTTGGGTCCGGTAGTTATTAATAGAGACCCAGGCGGCTCGAAAGTGTAGAAATTCATGGGTTTGGGAAGATTGGCTTGCCATGTGGTGAAAGAGAATGTTTCTAGAAGAAGGGTAGTCAGCAACGTGGAGTTTGACGTTGTCGTTTGCGAGGAGAATGAGGGAGCGCTTATGAGTGGGCGCTTAGTTGGAGGCGAGCGACCCCATTGGCTGCAAGCCAAGCTGGCGTAAGGGTTTGTGTGATGGAGCTGCGATGTTGTGCATGGCGGAGATCTTGACACTTCTAAGATTAGAAACACGTCGTCGGTTCTGAGAAAAAGAGTTGTCTCTTCGATAACAATGGGTTTGAAGACTGACGTCTGAAGAGTCTTGGCCGAAAGAAATGAGGACCGAGGTGGTGAGGTTGAGAGATGGTTGACGGGAAGTCGAGACCATGTCCATGCTGACCATCTAAGTGGGCCACGTGACTAGGTACGGATAGGTAGTAGGCAAGTGACGGGATACAGATGCTCGAAAGTTGAAACCGAACAAGCGCGCTTTTGTAAGGTATCCACCAGAATGGTACAGTCAATTGTTTCCTAATGAAAGGCTGCAATGAACAATGACATTGAAGATTAAGGTACTTTGCGGTGAAAGAGATCGGATCGACGATACCACCAGACAGGCACACAGGGCACTCCTTCCCTGCGCTTGTCAAGTTGAAGAAGCCGTGGTCTGCACTAAAGCACTGATGACTAATGAAGTACTATCCTCAAGTAAAGTGCTTTCCAGGTTGACACAGCGTACCCGTATGGGTAGCGGGCCGGACAGTCAATCTGCGGAGGTACCTTTCATTGAGTGCGGGAGTCCTCCTTCCCACCTCACCTGAAGGAAATCATGGATTCTGGCCGGAGGGAAAGGAGCCCAAGGCAACCCAAGATCAAATGGAAGGCGGCCGCAGAATAAGGTAGGAAACTGAGCGGGTGCTTTAGGCTCTTGCCCAGGTAAGGTACCTTAGGTACGGTGCCCTACCTACCTTAGGTAACTAACTGCCTCGACAACTCGGGTACCTCCTGCCGCTTTTACCCGTTCTCCAGTTGGGCAGGTACCCTCCATTGGTCCTTCCGTCAAGTTGTCAACTGGGCAGTTCCTGACATGGAAGGCCCCTTCCCCCTGTCAGCGCGCTTGAATCTATAAGCGGGCTCGGTAGCCCCCAAATTGCGGATGTCCCGTCGCCCGCAAAGAACCAACAACTGCAGATCCAGTCCCAATGTCCCATCCACGGACCATGGCTCTCACCAACGTCAAGGGTTTTTCTAGACGGTCCCGAATCGTTTCTGTGCGACTCTCCACTCTGTCATGTCAGATTGTTTGCCAGAGTTTTGTCTCCCGATACACCGAGGCTCTCTCGCATTCTCTCACGAGTCACTTTGGACAATTTCCATTCCCTTTCAGCAAATACCCGCCGCCACATCGGGCTGCCTTCGCCAATGAGACGCATTTCCAAACTTCGTTTCGGGGGCTTTGGACCAACCACGGGCTCAGGATCTCCAGAGAAATGTGGTCGGTGGCCTGCCTGACACTTCTACAAACTCCGGGGTGTGCCATTCGCATCCCTCAATCGTGTGCTAGATCCGAACGCCGTTCGTCGTCAGTCGTCAGTCGTCAGTGGCCAGGAATAGCAACATCGTGCAGGACATTGGATGGGACGAGACATTTCTTGCGGACGACGACTACCTAAACAAGAACCAACACAATCCCATCCGGACGCCTAGTTGTTTCCAGCTCTCGCCTTCTCCGAGCCGGCCTCGAATCTTGGTCCATACAGTCCCCCTCATTTTCTCATACCGCAGTCAATCTTACTCTAGCCACCTTGCTATTGACCTGGCCGGTATGCATCACCGTCACATCCAACACACTCGATCGTCGTCAACACCTGATTGTACCTCGTCTGGCACTCTGTCCCGGCTCCCGCCATGCCTCGACGAGTATGTACACCTATGCTGCCGTGCGGCGTGCCCCTTTACCCCTGCCTCTGCTTACCCTACCTTAATGTCACAGTTTATCTCACCTCCACAATCCCTGATCAGTTGGTGACGGCACAATGCTACAGACGACGGACCAGGGGTTTAATTCTCAACTGCAAAAGAATACCTGAGTCCCTGACTTCTCTCGTTCTCGAATCCCGTCGCCCCGCTTTTGTTTGCTTTACCAAGGTTCCCTCTTGGACTCGCCGCTCTCGCAGCTCCCTGCAACCTCGGTCCTCGAATTTGCTCCATTTCAACTCTTGATCCTGCGCCTTTCATCCCCGCTCGCCCAAAGTCGCCCCTGCCTACTACGTTAGAGACCAAGATTTGCCGCATTTGCCATGACACTCGACGCGTCGGCCATGTCATTTCATTATGGATCTGGCGAGACGGCCTCCTAACACGAATGGCAACTCGGCTGGCGGCCCAGAGGTTCTGCGCTGTTTGCTACTGTTGCCTTTCTTCCGTGCTCCACATCGCGGTGGTCATTCCGCATTTGTCTGATCTTTCGATGCGACAGTGGACACTGTCACACAGATGAACAACGGTCAACCAGACACGGTCCCGGAGTGGAAACCCCCATACGGCAAATACATTGCACCACTGTGCCGATGCTCTCAAACGCCTTCCATTTCGCCCCTCGCGCTTCTCGCTCCGGCCGGCCCCACGAGACGACATTCCCGCAATCTCTGACTAGGCTTTCTTCATTACCGAGCGACCAGGCAAAGGCTCACGAGCTCCACCAAGGCCAAGTTCGCACGCATACGGCTACAACTATTGTCTGTAGACTTGACTTCGAAACACTTTGCGCTGTCGCGTCGATAGACGCAAGCAACACGAGCTGAGGCTTTTCTAGAGGAACGTGGGATATACCCCGAGGAGAGCGTCTACAGCCAAGTACATGAGTCGGGCGATATCTTTGGGACCCTGGTCAAAGCTACAACGACTAAGCAAGAACACAACTCCGTCTGCAAAGTCAAGTTTGGGAAGCCAGCCATCTGCAAGCCGTCCGCCTTTCTAACTTGATGTCTTCCTGAATCTGACGGGCAAGGATATATTATGCCTTACCTTTGATATGCGCAATAGACGGTGAAGGAGGTGTACGCTTGTGCGTCTGTGTGTGATAAGATGTCAGCACTTGTGCAGCGGAATCGTGATAGCCGCATGAGTCTCCGGCCAATGCAGCGCGCATCACATTACCTCTGATCTAAGCAGGATGTGAAGGAATTCATCACCTGCGAGTCAAATTCTACGCCGTATCACAAAGAGCCCATGACATCTCACCTCGAGCAACAGCATCTCATGGAACGAAACCGACGGGCCAACGTAGTCCCGGTTGCTAATAATGGACTGCCGAAGATTGCGAGAAAGTCTCGTCTGTCTCGTCACAGCGCATGTGTCGAATCGAATCGCCCTGCTACTCAACTCTCCTCCTCCCGAGCATCAGGGCTTCTCGTTGGCTGCATGTCGACTTGTCGCGAACCAATCAGACTGGCGATGCCGCTTAGCTGCCATCACGGTAGGTGTGGGTGGGTCGCGGCGGTAAAGATACCCGGGCGACGAGCGGAGAGCGACGCTGGTGCGGGTGGGAGGGTCGATTCGGACGCCTCCGCGCTTTTTTTTCACTTTTTTTTTTTTTTTTTTTTTTTTTTTTCCACACCCGCCCTGCGACAAGCGCTACGCACGATGTAAAGGAAGGGGTGCAATTACTTGCAAAGATGGTCTGGAGACACTTTGACCGCCGTCAGAGCCGACGATACAATGCCTTCTCTTCCAACGCCTTGCCCTCATATACGCGACAACGAGACGAGACGAGACGAGCGGATCGGTCCCGGGCAAAGCTGGGGTAAATAAGCCCAACAACGCAGACTGAAAGTCAAGTTGCCCTCCCAGTCCCACCCAGGATTGCACGGCTAAAAATAATCCACCGTGGGCTGTATCCTGGTCCATCTACATCGGAAGATTAACGTTTTTGTTTCATCCCTGCCCCGTCAGAGGAACGAGAGCAGACACCACCAGTCCACCACCAGACTTGACTGTGAAGGGAACCTGGGAGAGAAAAAAGATGGGACATTCACTACGGTCACTCTCTAAGTGCTATCGCCGAACTCACCTCACCTGGGCTCTGTGCCGCACATCCAGACCATCCCCATTCGTCTTTCTCAAGTCTCGACAGGAATACCCATCACTCAGCCTAGGTATCCGATCCCTGATACAACTCATCACCCCGATCAACGAGCAAGGAGATTGGCAGCCGCGATATGTATTTTGTAGGTAGCTGTTTCCGGAACAAGACTGGCGCATGCGCTACCGCGACCGGACAAATGCGCGGCCAGATTGTTGCGACAAACGCATGGAGAGCAACTAGTGATTGCAACCCTACAAGGTCGCTACATCCCGGGAGACACCCGCGCACAGAGAATGTCACCTAGAGATGCGCGGTGCAGTCAAGTGCTGTTGCGTACGGATACCTCAGAAATCGACTCAGGTCAAAGCCTCCCGCGACTGGTTGTCACGCTGAAGAACGGAGCCAAGGGCCGAGACACGGCTCAACGCGGACGCGGAAATGGGACTATCCCCTCACTAATCTCACGCCAACGACACCAAAACCTGCTAGACGAACGACCTGGTGCACTGCCGCGTTTGCTAGCCCAGTTGGCGGCTGCAGATTGCAATCGAACGGGGTCACAATACGAGCCACAGCCAACTAAGCCTGGTTGTTGACGACGATACCCGACGTTGGCGTCACACATGAGGGCTAATTGCGACGCTGAGCGTACTTTTTAGACGCGGCGAAGGGAAGTGGGTTCGTAGAGAAAGGGAAGAGAAGAGAAGATGTCACTGATCGCGTCAAATTGCATGACACGGGGATCCTATCCTGACAGCTCCATTGGCTACTACACAATGATGATCAACCGCATCCGCCGGCAATGCTCGCTCTCACCTCACCACTACTACCCTGCGCCGGGGGGTACGAGGCAATTTCACTGATAGCTCGGTCTGGTTGGCGGATGTTCTCACTATTTTCCCGTTCAGAGGGAACCTCCGTCCAATCTGAGTACTCATCGTTAGAAAGGATATTGTCGCACACGGTAATGAAGGTCCTCAACACTCCGAAACAGCCGCTGTACCACCGCTCCATCCCGAGTCAAAACCAACTGCGGCCACTATGACGAGGATGAGACCCCGTTTGACATGGACTACCGCGTGGCCATGTGCTATTTATGAAGACGTGAGCGGATGAAGGGACCAAAGGTTCGACCGGGATTGCATTTGCACCGAGGGCGGTCATCCTGCGTCTTATAGCGTTGGCCAGGGTGCTTGGTCCGGACCTGGTGGACCAAGCGACACCTAGGCCTCGGGGTTTATTTTCTTCACCTTCCTGAACGTATCAAAGCCGTTTCCTGCCAGACTTGAGAAACGTGGGAGACCCTGGCGCCAGTTCTCTGCGGCACGGCACACCTGATGATTCGACCCCGGCCAAACAGCGGTCAAAAAGGGTTACAGCGAGGGTCAAGCTTCGTGAGAGCGACAAGTGGAAACCAGTGTAACGCTACAGGCGGGCAGCGTCTCCGGATGCGCGAGGGGCCTTCTTGGTGAACCGCGAGAGTGTCTGACTGTCTGGAACGTTTTGCTCAGGCAACGACAGTCCGTCAAGTTGTACAAATCTTGGGATGGTGGAGTCGAGGCGGCACGCTGACGACTTGACCGGGACATTGGCCACTGACGGCGAGCATGTCAAGTTGACAGGGCTAGCGGATGCAGCCTGGCCGCTGGCGAAATCATGGGCCCGGGTCGTCGCCATGGTGGGAGTGAGTCCTTGCGTCTTTGGCGAAAGCAGCCGGCGGCTCTTGTCACGGGCGGTCGCTTGTTTCCTGCCCCCAAACTCTGGAGACACTGGAAATGACGACGGCTCACGGCCGCGGCAGAGCGGGGGCCAAAAACACACCTTGCCATGCGCCGGTAGCCTTCAAAAGGGGGGAGGGGGGAGGGGGGAGGGGGGAAAGGATGGCAGATCCCTCTCCCCCATCACGTGGCAGAGGTTAAGAGACGTATTATCGAGCACATATGTGTGCGTACGTGCACGCTACCTCATCTACCTACCTACGGAGTCAGATACGTACAAGCCGCAGCTATTATGCATCGTTTAGCCCAATATTGCATCGCGGGGAGGTGGGCGATATGGCCGGTGAGGCCCGCGAGATGATGGTGTGTGCCAACCCTTGCAGCCTGGAGACCAATCACCGCGGCACGGAAAATAGTTGGTGGCTATGGTCAAATTGAACTCTCACTCATGATATCGAGTCTACAGCCACGGATGATGAGCCAAATTGCTGGGAGGTAGGAGATATTTGCCATTCCACGGCTTGGAAGGGCAACGGCCTTGGACTCACGGTGGGGGGGCTCGATTTGGGGATGGAGGCAAGGCGAGTAGGGACGGCGATGGGCACAAGCACGGCGGCATATCCCGGCCCAGGCCCGGCTAGGCCAGGTCGACCTACCGTCAAGCACAGTTCAGTTGAGTTGTACAGCTGGAGCGGCGGGTTGCAGAGGCTGTGGCTCACGCCCCCTCCCCAAGTCTCCAATGGCCTGTCGACACGCCCCCTCCTTTCTGCATACCATCCCCCCCTTGTTCATGCTTCGCCAGGGGACCCAGATGGTGGCCGTGGAAGCGACGACAAACGCAAGTGGTTACTGGCAGCAGTATCGCGCGAGTACTTTGTGGCGGTCGAGTACCCGTGGGAAGCGCCATGCCGCGACCCAATGCTGTTCGTGTCTCCCGGGTTTAGCGACGAAGGACTGGGGTGTCTGGGAGGAATGTATCCGTATGTATGACCCAGGAAAGAGAGGCGATACGGATGCCTCTTGCATGTTCTGACCAACACTTGCACACACGCAGAGAGTAAAGGAGAGAAAGGGCGAGCGAGAGGAGGGGGTTCTAAGTGCGGATGCAGCACACAAGGAGGGATTTGGCGGGAGAAGGGAACCAGGATCAAGAAGAAAGTGAGTGAGGCCGCACTCGAGTACTTTTTTGGAAAGATTCTGTGCTTCGTACTCTCTCTCTCTGTATCCGTACAGGATACAAAAGTAACGAGGCACCCGCCGAGACCCTCGTCTCGTCCCTGTTACCCCGAGAGGTATTTCTCGTTCCCTTGCAATCTCGGTCGCAGCCCAGCGTGGACGTTGAGTACAGACGACGGACACACAGAGACCCTTTTTCTAATTATTCGGCCATTGGAGTTGAGCTTTGGCGAGTGAGCGCGTAACAACGGGAGGAAAGGAAAGGAAAGGAAAAAAAAAAAAGGAAAAGGCTGGCTGGTTCCCGCACTATCAGACTTTCGACAGTGCCGGCTTGTCAACGACTGGTTCTTACCTTGCCTTGCCTTGCTTTCCTTGCCCACCACGACGGCTACGGGGACGAACTAAGGCTGCGGCTACAGATGCCAGACGCTTTTACGTAGATACCAAGACACAACCACGACCATCCCACCCCCGACCACCACTTTCACTCGAGGTTCGCTACCGCTACCACTTCCACATGATATTAACATATTCCCTACCCTCTGCCCCCCCCTTCGTCACACTTTACACTTTCTTGTCATCTCACCCTTTCGCCCATCCCATCCGTCAACATCCGACACCACCAAAACTATTTCCTCCTCACAGCCACAGCCTAACTCATCAGACAGGGCAGACTCGTTGCACTTTGCACATCCACTCTCTACACCCCAAAGGCAAACGGCGCGGTATTAGGGAAGGTTCAAGGATCAACACGGACGGATATTCGTACTCACCCAGCTATTCTTGACTTGAGCTGGTATTCATACCGGCTTTAGCGGAATAAGCTGCAATCGGAGTCGTGTTACAGCCCAAGTCTCCTCACATCGCCTCGCCTCGCTGGACGTGGGAAATTGTCTCCTCACTTTTCAGTGTGTTCGCCCCCCCCTCCCGAACAGGCGCAGCATAATCGCGCGTCAAAAAAAAAAAAAAAAAACCGCTCAAGCGCCGCCAGACAAAGCAGCCATCATCCCTCGACTCGGACAAACCCTTGAGACGGGGAGAAAGGAAGAGACGGGCCTTGAACAAATTGGACACAAGGGAAGCGGCAAGAAGCTGGACTAATACTTTATTCGAACCCTTCTTATTTTCCATCTTTTTCTTTCTCAACTTGGGGAAAGAGAAGACGAGAGGCGCACGGTACCTTTAAGGAGAACAACGCCGGCGCAGTTTCTCCTTTGGTTCCTTTGATACTCTCTGCTTCCTCGCAGGCGACGTACCGAATCGCAGGCGCGAATATTCATCTGCCTGCTTCCGTCTCATACGCACGCACACACATCTCACCACCAACACCATCACCTACGCTTGGTACGGACAACCATCAAACTGCCACCAGCACGGCAAATTGCAAGCAAATAGCGGAGTTGATTATCTACCATAGATCCCAATTTCGACTTTGGGCGTCCCCATCATCACCGTCATTGTCATCCCTGGCCGGACGCAACCGCGATACGAACCCCGTCGGTCAAGCCAAGACCACGCATGCGCTGAAAGTGCTCCAAAGCCCGATCTCATCTGGAGCACCTACTTTTTCTCCAAGGCAGACAGAAGTTCGCATCTACTACCACCGCGTCTCCTCGTGTCGGTTCCAAGACTGTAGCAATCCTGCAGTACCGCCAGCAAACATTAGCCAGCAGTACTACACAGTACACAACTCTCAACGTATTGTCAAGGCAGCCAAACAAAAAAAACAAAAAAAAAAAGCTCCAGACATAATCCCAACTGGGATAGTTCATGAGAGCAACAAAAACGTGAGTGAATCTCTGACGTGTCTGCTGCCCGCTGTTCGCTCCCACTCTTTTTTTCTGCATCTGCGTTTCTTCTCTCCTTCATCTGCCGCCCAAAGACCAAACAAGGCAAGGGCAGAAACTCTCTTGACGGCGTCGAGCATCCGTACAGGCCGGGACGCTGGGTCGGGCTGTTCCCATCCAATTTCTCTCACACATATTCATACACCAAGGGCTGCACAGCCTCAGGTCTCAGCGGCATCTTTCTCACCAATTTCTGTCCTTGTTCCACCCCCGGAGCGGACAAGACACCGCTCTCGCTCTCTCGTCCTTGTCGCACGTTCCCAAGACAAGGTACCTTGCCTTTTTACTGACGCACGCGCGCACAGCCCAAGCAATCAGTTATTTGTCTCACCCCCCCCCCCCCCCCCGCCCACTAAAAAAGAAGGGAAGAAAAAAGTCCAAAGCTCAAGCTCCCGCGACCTCCGCGCGCCGCGTACCGAAGCACCAGCGGCGGCAGAAGCAGCAACAGCTCTAGCTCCAGTTCCAGCACTACCAGCTGCACCTGTATCCGTACTTCGCACCAAGTACGGAGTACCAGAACGAAGTACCGCCAGCAAAGAGTGTCATCATTGCGCTTGATACCACCTCACTCAACTTTTTTTACTTTTTTTTTTTTCCTTTCCCCTTTCCCTCTTGTGCAGATCGTTGAAAGGGACCAGGGGGTAACGCGAGGAAAGGAAAGAGAAGAAAACTTTACCCACCCCCACGACAAAGCAACGACTTGGATCTCAACCACACCAGACAAGAGGTCCCCATTTCTTACTCATCCACGTCGACCTCTCAGGGAAGCTCTTCTCCCCCAAGAGAGTCTCCAGGTCCGGAAGATATCGAGGCGCCCTCGCTGTCTCAAAAAGCCGTTCACTCGCCTCGGACCTTCAGCCCAACGCTATCCTAGCTGTTGCTGAGCTTCCTACACGTCTCCGTAGCTATTCCAGAGCAACATTCCGCTTGGCTTGGCTCGGCCCGAATCGCTGATTCTGGCATTCATTGACGCGCGCGAACTCCTGCGCACCCTTTTCGTCAACATCATCTCGCGGCACTTTTCCCCCTCTGCCGAAGCTCCCCGCCGACTCTTCACTTACCACGCGACGGTCATCTGTCAACTTACCTTGCCGCCGGTCGCTTGCTGCATCTGCGCCAGCAATTCTATCAAGGCACAGCTATCGCTTGCTCAGCCAAACGCGCCTGCATAGCGACGTAACGACTCTCACCACTCCACGTCCGAGTCGGTGAGGTGCCGTTCTAAATCATGTCAACATTTACTGCCCTCAATGGGGGCTCACCAAAAACATCAGAACCACCTAACCCGCCCGCCGACGCCAGTAGAGCCCCGTCAGACGAGCGCACCAATGGACAGCCCACCCTTCCTGAGCCCAAATCGACACCCGCCGTAGAGCCCTCCCCAAAACAGAGGGAGCCCTGGGCAGGCCCAAGCCAGGAAAGATCACCGTACCAAACAGCAAATTACCCCGACGTTGACGGCTCACATAAGAGAAAGCGATCAAACTCAGTAGAGCTGATGAGACGAGAAGCTCCCGGGCGTCAGGAAAAGTCCCCTGAGACCGCCTCTCAACCTCACCCACCAGAACCACGTGAGCCATATGGAACGCCCTCGCGTGATCATCGCCCTTACGCTGAGCGCGAGGATTCACGGGAACGGGGTGAGTCATGGTATTCACGCGAGGGAAGAGAAAGGGAAAGGGAGAGGGAGGAGAGAGGTTACTACGACCAGCCTTCTGCAACCTCTACCCAAGGTCAATCCGAGGAACAAATCGGGGAGGCTCTGAGGCGCGCCAACCAGATGGATGCGAATGACTACGACAACACCAGCCCTGACGGTGATGATCGATCAATGGCTTATGGTTCTTACACGCCTGGTGGATCCCGTGATATGCTTGCATCCGACAAGGCGAAGAGGAAGCGAAACTTCAGTAACCGAACCAAGACGGGGTGCCTTACATGCCGAAGGAGGAAGAAGAAGTGCGACGAGCAGAAGCCGGAATGTAGGAAACGCCCTGGTTTTTTTTTGTTTTTTTTTTTTGGTTTTTTCTTCTAATTTTTCGTTTCGAGTGATGACGCTGACCCTTTTTCAGGTAGTAACTGCCTTCGTGGAGGCTTTGTCTGTGCAGGATATCCTCCGCAGCGTAATACGGCATGGCAGAAGCCGGACAGCAAGGCCGCCGCCATCCCCTTGGAGTCCAAGGACCCCAGCTACGTCCCACCTGGCGCGTATGGCATGCCACAGCAAGCTCCTTACGGCAGCCAACCAGCTGTCGGACCAAGACGAGAGGCATTACCTCCCTACCGTGGCCAGCCGTTGCGGATAGATCCTCCCCAGGGCCGACCCCTACTGACTGACGACGACCGGCCGACAGCCTCGACGATTCCCAGTGCATCGGTTGCGAGCCCCGAGACCAAGCTATCCGCCATTCCCTACACCCCAGCGAACGCGTTCCCGACGCCGATCAGTGCTCAAGGGCCTCCTCATGCCCCCTTCTCGGAGAGAAAGGATTACCAGCGTGTGCCCCCGTTGCACGACATTAGCAGGACTGTACCGGAACCGGAGACGCCTCATCCTGGCAACACGCTGCCGCAAATCAACATTCTGCACCCCACGAGGTCGAACAGCCCTATTCCGCAGCCTCCAGCAACTAGCAATGCACAAGTCGCTGCGCAGCTAGCCTTGTCGCACACCCAGTTTTCTTCCAGTCGGTCTAGGACGACGAACAAGGAGGATATGCTTGCCGGCAAGCTCTACTACCCGTTCGATAAGGAGCTTGTCCTTGAGCGCGAACGGTGCAGCGCCGCATGTTGGCGATTCAACAACTCAACGAACCCCAACAACGGTGTCTCACCAACGGAGCGAGGCCGCCTGTTCCGTGAGATTTTGCAGCCTCGCGACCCTATCCAGCTTTCACCGACAGTCGCATCGCCGGTGACCAATGTCGGAAGAGTGGGCGAGCACGTTATTGTGGAAGCGCCATTTACTTGCGACTACGGGTACAATATCTCTATTGGAAAAAATGTCGTTGTTGGCCGAAGTTGCACCATCATCGACACCTGCGAGGTCAGGATTGGCGACAACTGCCACATTGGACCGAACGTTAGCATTTACGCAGCAACGCTACCTACCGACCCTAAGAAGCGCCTAGGTAGCAAGGGCCCTCAACTTGGCAAGCCTGTGACCATTGAAGAGGACTGCTTCATTGGCGGAGGAGTCATTATCTTGCCAGGCGTCAGGATTGGGCACGGAAGCACCGTTGGGGCCGGTGCGGTTGTAACCAAGGTATGTTGGACATGCGGTCCCTAATCATGAAACTCTAGTCTAACAAATTCTGCAGGACGTCCCTCCCTTCACCATCGCAGTCGGCAACAACGCCAGAATTATCCGCGGCATTTCCTCCTAAGACAGCACTTGGTCTCTGTCTGCTTCCCTGTCTCTTCCTCGCTGCTATGATACCCAGCTGCGTCTTATTGTACAAAAGCGTGTGTGTACGTGTGTCAATTTTTTCAAATCTTAAATTTTTTTTTTATTCCATATCATTTCATAGTATTGTTTCTACGATTTCGAGCCAAGCGCAAGGAGCAAAAGAGGGAACCATTAAAAAAGAGCCTGGCGTTTTCTAATACATTGGTTTCCTTGACACGGAGCTGGCTGGCTGGATGGGGAAACAGACCCCATGAGTCTAGCTAAGCTAGTTGGAGAAAAAGCACGGGGAGAGACACCGGTTGTGTGGGGGTTTAGCTCTGGTAGCTCTAGACGGAGGCCGGATGGACGGGCTTACATTGATAGTAAAAAGCCGTCAGTGCAGGTCCGGCCGGGGGTGGGGTTCAAGAGGAGGCAAAAGGTGTTGATGCGTGTGTGTTGTGTGTATGTATCTTGACGCTGCCCGGGCAACGAGATGCCGGGCATAAGATCGGTAGCTTTATTGCATGAGGCAAAGGAAGTTGTTGCAAAACATGATGTCAATGATTCGATTCAACCTTGTGCAACGTGAGTAAGGCCCATTGGTGCTCATCATGGAAATCCAAACTGCTGTATCGTTCGTGATCCTGCCGCTCCTCACAGATGCGGGCACATGCCGTACCAAAGTAGCCCTATGAGACAGTAGCGTGCAGCGTCAAAATGTTTCAAGCTTGCCAAGAGATTTCTGGCCCCCTTTTGGGCCCCCCGTATAGATGGGATGACGGGATCACGAAAGAAAGCGGTGTGGAAAAAAGGGGTCATGGCGCCGTAGAGAGAGAGAGACTGGTCGGATGTGTGCCAGTTCCGATAAACCACAGCCGCGCAGCACGCGCCGTGTAAGTGATAATGGATGGGAAGTAGTTAGGGAGACTAGTCTGTTCCTTTATCCGCGGTGCCTTTTTTTCCGTAGTGGCGTGTAGTAATGAAATGTTTCAACATCTAGGGGTAAGTACGGCGGTTGGATCGTGCAGGTTGTGCAAAGAGGAAGAGAGAGGTTTTGACGATGTAAGATGGGAGGGATGATGGGGATCACGGAGCAAAGCAGAGACCAATTTCCTTCCATCGATGGGGTGCTTAGAGTTAAAGTAGGGTCATGGCGGTTAAGATGCCACGATGCTTAGATAGGCGCTACGATACGATACGATACGATACCTAACCCCCAGGAGCAAAGATGCCGGTGGGATTGATACTCTGTTCGATCGGAGCCTCCAGCCTTAGCGGTTGTTTTGCCTACATGCGGGGAGGGCGTGGTGTAAAAGTTGCGTTTAATATCTCGGGCCGTGCGTGGAGGAAGTCTAAGAAGACGGGCACCGCCCTTTTTGCCCGCATACGGCCCGCGGCGATGGTGAGGAAACAGGAGGAGATAAGTAGGAAGAGGAAGGAATGCAGCGCTAGTGGGCGCTAATGATTTCCCATTCCAGTAATCGATGAGAAGGAAAAGTAAAGGTAGGAGAAATGCAATGCATGCGCGGGCATGGGAGCAGGTGGTTCTCGGATCCGGGGTGTGCTATTGTTGGATAATCTGTATGTGTATGTGTATGTGTATGTGTATGTGTATGTGTATGTGTATGTGTATGTGAGAATTGAGGTTTTGGGTTGCATGTGAACGCGGGTTTGCATATGTACGCCAGGCGTTCGTTCGCGCCTTTTGCAAAAGAGTATAACTACAGGTTAAGGTGAACATGAAAGCTTGAATTACTGATGTGCATAAGGGGTCATTGGACGGCATGAGGGCGTTTGACGGATGGCGGAAAACGAGGAGAGAAAGTGTTTGGACGTTTTTTTTTTTTTTTTTTTTAAACAGCTCACTCGTACTTCTCTGTTTGATGAGCATGTGAGAGGGATGTGGGGGAGACACACACACACACACACACACACACCCTGCTAGAGAATTAACGGACGAGAGCGAGCGAAGCTTTTTGATTCCATCATCGTGAAAGCTCGCTTGAGAAAGGGGGAGGTTCTTGTAAATGTTTCGGCGTTTAGGAAAAGAAAGTTGGGACGTTTCCGACAGAGAGAGAGAGGAGACAAGGGACAGGGCTTTGCCATATCGTAGTATTCGTACAGTAGTAGTTCGTTCCGGTGGATTGATTAACTTTTTTTCTGTAAACTCGCCCTAGAGATGCGAGATTTGCCTTGGCTCTGCATGCTCTCACAGCTTAATCGTTCATCGGTAAAGCTTCTCCGAAGCCCGCTCAGACATTTCCCCCACTTTGTAGACTGAAAGTAGTAGGGGGGGGTTGAGGAGGAGGAGTAAAAGGAAAAGACTTTCCGCGATTTTTGCCTTTTCTTCACAAAAAGGGAGAGAGAAAGGACGTGCTCGTCGAATGCAGAGCCGCCCGTCCCCTAAAGATTTGATCAATGACACATTGACGTCTATAAGTGGCATACAGTCTCGATGTAGAAAAGCGGCGTTTCTGACACCTGTGATGGGAGAGTCTAAGAGGGATGTCAGTGTATTGGCGGTGGTGTTCATATCTGGTTTCTTGTTCTTTAGCGTTCATGAGACGACGTTGAATAGAGGGTGAAGCTATGGTTCGTTTACTGGAGAAGTTGAGGTGCCATGGCCCATACGTGGGCAGCCGAAGATGTAATACTTCCGAAAGGGGAAGGTGTAAAATCCGGGGATTATCCCCGACTAACAAGCTCCCTCCTCCATCCTTTGAGCGAGGGGATGAATCCTTCCTTTGACTGTGATGACGATTGCTCGCCTTCTTTTGCTGACTGACATTGGTCACGTTTTCGTAAAAACTTGGATCTCTATTGCTTTCACGAATACGAATCCATACTTTTTTTTCTTTTTCCCCCTTCTTTCTCTTCCCCGAAAGAAACAGCAGCTAAACTCCGGACACAACTTCATCCCAGATCGGGAATCCATCTCAGACCTCGTCTTACCTCACTAGTGCCCAAGCTCACATCTCTATACACCACTCTACGAGTTTCCGCGTGAACAACTCGGCCGATAGGTATTCCCCCACACACCGACAACCTTATTCGGGGGTGTGTTCCGAAGAAAAGGGGTAGGCATTGCAGAGAAAGAAAGAGAGATAGAGTAGATCTGGGTGCGTGGTGGTGAGACCCGAGCCGACCCGGCCCGCGCAAAGAACCCAAGGGAACAAGACAATGCCGTCCTCGTCGGACATTGCCCAGTTCACGTCAGTCTTCCGCGCCCAGTCTCTGTCCGACGGCCAGCGCAGGGTGACAAAGCGCAACCGCCAACCCGTCTCGTGCCTCGCCTGCCGCGCGCGCAAGCTGCGATGCGATCGCGCCCTGCCGTGCGGTGCGTGCGTTAGGCGCGGGGACGAGGGGGCATGTAAGTTTGGGCCTGCTGCTACTGCTTCTATCTCTGCTCCTGCTTCTGCATCTGCGTCTGCATCTACACCATCTACAGTCTCTGCATCTACGCGAGGCGGCGCTAATGCTGGTACCGGTGCCGGTTCTATTACCGTTTCTGGAAGTGCTGCTATTCCTGTCTCTTCTGGGGAAGGCATCGGGAATACTCTAAGCTCGAGCACTCGAGGAAACGGGAATCTAGCCGCTGTCACTTCAGATGGAGCTCCTCGTCATCGTGGTGGGAGTGGCGCGGGACAGCAGCCGCGTCCGGAGGTTCACTTCCGGCTCCGAAAGCTGGAGGACATGGTCCAGGACCTCGTCAGGAGGGGCATGACATCATCCAAAGACCGCGACCGGAACGGCGCCCAGCCGGCCCCGGCTCCGGCTCCAGGGTCGCGCCCCACCAAATCAACCGAGACCGTCGTCAACACCGTACCGACGCCGCCGACGGACTCGGAACCACCCCGGAGCGGAAGCAGCACCGGCGGCGACGACTCCCCAGCCCCGATCCCCGTCGACGGAGACGACGCCTACTACGGCGCAACACACTGGACGGCCCTCCTCCACCACATCCGCGAGATCAAAACGGCCCTCGAACCAGACCCGACCATCGCCCCCGAACCGCCCGAGGGCGCCGTCTGCGCCATCGGCCCAGACTTCCTCTTCGGCGCCGTCGTCCCCGTCTCCCTGCCCGAGGTTCTCTACAGCCTCCCTCCGCGACAAGACCTCGACAGGCTCCTCGGCGTCTACTTCAACGCCCGCTTCACCGCCGTACCCTTCATCCACGTCGGCCGCTTCCAGCGCGAGTACGACGCCTTCTGGGCCAACCCGGAGGCTACCTCCTGGCTCTGGATCAGCATCCTATTCTCCATCCTCTCCAACGCCACCGTCATCGTCCGCGGCAAGGGAAACGCCCAAGCACTCGGCCTCAACCCCGCAAAGCTGAAAGAGGCCTCGGCGTACTCGGGCCGCGCGGTCCAGTGCCTCATCAAGGGCAACTACCTCGCCGCGAGGCCCTACTCCGTCGAAGCGACCATCCTCATCGCCTACTCCCGCGCCCTCGGCAGCAGGGACATGGACCCCATCCTCTGGAACATGTTCGGCGTCGCCACCCGCCTGGCCCAGCGCCGCGGCTACCACCTCGAGCCCTCGCACCTCTCGGTCCCCATCTCCCCCTTTGACGCCGAGATGCGCCGCCGCGCGTGGTTCTACTGCGAGGCCTTTGACCTCCTGCTCTCCTTCCAGCTCGGCATGCCCGCCATCGTCCACGAGGGCGACAACGACGCCCGCGGGCCCGGGAACCACCCAGACGAGGACTTTGACGAACACACGACGACGATGCCGCCGCCGCGCCCGCCGACGGAAGCCACGCCCGCGCTGTACTACTGCTTCAAGTCCAAACTCTGCCGGATCCTACGCCGCGTCATCCGCCACGCCCTATCCCCCGCGCAGCCCGCCTACACCGAGACCCAGGCCCTCAACGAATCCCTGCACGCGTGGCACGCCTCCCTGCCCGCCGTGCTGCGCGTGCGCCCGATCCGGGAGACGGGCTTCGCGGAGCAGAATTATACGGTGATGCAGCGGCTTATGCTGGAGCTGATGTACAGTAAGGCGCTGTGCGTGCTGCACAGGCGGTATCTTAGTCGTGAGAGGGGGTGTTATAACGGGGACCCGCGGTTCGCTTCGTCGCGGGAGATTTGTAGGGCTGCGGCGCTGCGGGTGTTGGATTTGCATGCCGAGTTTGATCGGGAGGCGAGTCCGGGTGGGAGGTTGTTTGAGGATCGGTATATGTTGAGTAGTTTGACGTTGCATGATTTTATGATTGCTGCCATGGTTGTTTGTTTGGACTTGAATGAGAGTACGGATACGAGGTATGTTCTCTTCTCTTCATCTTTAAGTTTTCAAACCTTTCGCTGTTTTTTGTTTTTTTTTCTTCCTCTTCTTGATTGAAAAAGGGATCAAGAGATAGGTTATGGAGTAGGGAGGTTTGACTTGTTTGCTAACGACTGAGAAAGTGACGAGGACTACGAACGGAAAATGGACACTCTCAAAACGGCTAGCGAGATCTGGTCGCGCAGATCAGACTGCTCCAAGGACGCGAGGCACGCGGCGGCGGTCTTGCGGGCCATGGTCCAGCGGCTTTCGCGCCAGAGGAAAGATGTATCTCGGCACCAGCTCGACAGTACCACGAGAACGACGCCGACGGTGACGTCGAGTACGGATGGTAGTAGTCTCGACGGCGTATATCGAGACCCAATCCTGTTTAGCGAACCGCTGAATCTGAACTCTGGGCTTGGAGACGTCGCTGGCTTGTCTGGTCAGGGGCCGGGCCAGAGCCAGGGTCTGGTTGGCGAGGGGGCGTACCGAGGCGATGAGTTGGATTTCATGGCGTTGGATAATGCTTTGAATGATCCTGCGAGCGTGGACTGGGTAAGTTTCGATATATGCTTCGTTGAGAGTCGTGGTTGAAGAGTTATAAGCTGACGTTTGAGGCAGAGCATGTTGGATCAGTACCTGATGCTGGACCGGAATGGGGAACTGGCGATGGACGTCTCTCATGATTGAAGCTTCGTTGCCTGATGTCGTCTGATTACGGTGGAAGAAGTAGAAGATGAGTCAATCGGATAGTAGTAGCGAGTCTAGCCACTCTGTGCCGGATTGCCAATCAGGAGACTTGGGAAATGGCTCATGTATAAGATTCAGGTTCCGTATCGAGCACCGCCTTATGAGCAATAGGGCAGATAAAACAAAACAAATAAGATTCAGGTTCAGTCTCCAACTCTGGCCGTATATTTAAGACTGCAGCCCGTCCCCGGTGACGTCGGGAAGAAACCAACAGCCTCACCTGACACTGTTCGTTGCCAACGACAGGATGCGTCCTGGATCGTCATGGACGGCAGTGTAAGAGCCACCTTGCTGCAACAGAGGCAAGTTCTGATGAGCAGTCGGTGTACAGATGCCGGAGCTAGAAGATACGATCTCACTCTTCTTACCTTACAACTGCCTGGCATCTCTTACACGCACTTGGCACATATTCCTCACGGAATACCCTGCCAGGGGTGATGGAAACCTAATCGCGATGTACCTGTGTCGGGAGAAGCTCTTAGGCGGTTTTCGATTCTGCAATGACTTAGTCGCACTCTGTTTCCCCATTGACACGGAGGACACCGCCGCCATGAACCCGACGAGACAGAAGTTAGCCCGAGACATGCTCTGCCTACGGAACCGTAATTCGGGTCTGCCATAGACGTATTTATAGTGGGTGATTTACATCTGGTCTATGAGAGAGAGGTCCTACTTTAGAACCACGGGATATCACCACACAGCAAGTCCTGAGTACTCTCCCTCTCTCTCTTTCTCTCTCCATCAAACACCAAAAACGAGTTTCACTCTCGAAAGGTGATTCGGTCGGACCTTACCTTGCCTGCCATAGCATAGAAGACCTAGCGGCAATTTGCTACTACCAATGCCGATATTTCACTCAGCCATTTACGTAGTCCAAGCCAGTTTGTTAGTGGGCGATCTCTGCTTAATATGCAGGGAGCCCATAAACTTCGAGACCTGGGATAGCTCCTTTGTGGAACTCAAGGTCACAGCGGAAAGTGTACTTGAAGTTCTACATCCATCGCTAGCTTGGAAATGATAAAATCCAAAACAAGAACTGCCCATCAGCATCTCTTACACGTACTCAACACAAATTCCTTCCAGAATGTCCCACCAGGGGGTAAGTGCCAGACTAAGATAAAGCTTCTTTGGAAGAAGCTCTCGGATCCTTTCACTTCGTGATGGGCTGGTCACCGTTTGCTCACTTAATCTAAACTCACACCAGCACAATGCAGACAATCTTCGCATTCGCGGTGAAGAATTCTTTCCGATTCATAAGAGGCTTGCTTTTATAGGTACTATAATGACCAGATATCAGTTGCGAGTCCTCCTCTGATTATGGATGGGGGTTAACCCGTCCCAGTTATCATGTACACAACAACGACGGCTTTCCCTCTGAAGAGACGTACGGGCATACCAAGCTGACAGAACACGTGAATAAAGCCGCCTCAGTGTTTCCGCAAAGCTGAGTCAAGCATTCAACGCTCGTGGCCTATATCAGTTTGGAAGGGGACGAACACATCATCTCAACATCGTCACCCTTCTTCTCTCAGACACATCTATAACCCTCACATCACTCGCCCGGCCCCGTGTTCACTTAGTAGTCATAACCCCCCAAAGTTCACCATCCATTGGATTCCGCATCCAGCTTATATGGTGGCTTGGTGACAACACCAACAGCAATACCTACACAACAAAAGACGACCAAACAAGTTTGCGTTCGTCAAGTAGTGTAGATTTACGAGTTCATGTCCCCTATCAATGAATCCACCAGGCAAACAAGTCTGCTGCTGATATCGTTTCTGCAGCGTGAAGCCTAGTGATTTACACCAAATCATCATCGTGTCATGTCACACGGGTAAGCCATCACAAGTGGCCCCAATCGTGAAGTCGTCAAGGTCAGGTTCGGCAACTCCATCATCAAACCAAGGAACGATGGCATGTCGCGCGTCAGGGAACAGCACAGGTCAATAAATGGTGTGGTGTAAAGTTTCCTGTCCATTGTATCCCTCTCTCTCTTCTGTCTATCAGCCTCCACACAACTCTCCCCGAAACATCTCTCTCAACTGCCGCCTCGTAGTCACCAACCTCTCCCCAACAGCGCAGTCGCCTCAAGCTGTGCCGGACACGGCGAGCCCTATTATCAACTTTAACGAAAACGTGCGGCAGACCCTGACCCAATGCTTAAAAACCCCTGCAACCGCCATGCGCCGTGCTGCGCTGTACATTATCAAGTTGTATGTTTTTTGTTTCTCTCCTTAGAAACAGAAAGTTCTTAGTTAAAGAAGGTCCCCATTCCCGAGGTGAGATTTCCATGCCAGTGATTTTATGATGCCTCGACAGCCTCCAAAAGAAAGGACGTCGTCGAAGCACAGATGAAGAGAAAACCAGAAAGAAAGGCTAGTGTGTTCGTCATTATCCCGGAATAGCCAGTGTGTGCGCTGGATGCTAGTCCGTGGTCGTCATGCGGGAAAAAAGTGTAGCTCAGAGGATGAAAAAGGTTTCGTCGGAAGGGATGAAGAGTGACGGACAAAGGGAATTGGTGGGTGGTGAAGTAGTCGTCAACCAGGTGTGGCCGCCTGATTTTTCTCAAACATCGATCCGGCATCTGGCTGGGTGTGTCCAGTGGGCATTTATATAGTGGTGAGGTGTAGTCTTAGCCGTCCTTTTGGCAACACGAACATAAACAGAAGCCAAGATTCTAGCCTGTAGAGGTGTTAGTGACACGGTCCGACGATGGGTGAGGTACAGAGGGATGCATACCACAGCAAAGCACCTTCATGAACTTTTGGAAGCCTGTGGGCTGGGGCTCGGCAGGACGGCCGTTAGGAGGGGCCGGCTGCTGGTTCATCGGTGTCTGTTGAGGAACGTTCTGGGGGAGGTTGCGGTTGCTGTTCTGAAACTGGGCCTGAGTTGAGCCGGTGGGGGTGGCCATGTCCCGAAGACCCCCGACTCCGGAGCCCCGTTGCGCGTTCAAGGCGCCGGGGGCGTTTGGTTGACCTCTCGACTTCGCCATCTGCTTGATCGGAGAAGGAGGCGGGGGTTGCGCGGCGTTTAAACGGCCGACTGTCAGGTTGTTGGGGTTGTTGGGGTTGTTGGGGTTTGCAGCACCGCCCCGATGGCCGCTGTGAAGCTCCATCTGGGACGGGCCGGGTCGAGCATTTGGGTTGTGCAGGTATCCGGGGTTGTGTCCCTTCATGGCATCCCATCCCTTGCCGTTGTCCTTGGAAATCTTCATCCAGTCGTACTCGCCGTCCTCGACCTCACCGGTGTTCTTCAGGGCCTGAGTGAAGAGCTCGCGGAGGTAGTCGTAGTCGGGGGTGTCCTCAAAACCGAGATTCCGTACGTAGGTCAAGTACTTGTTGAACTCATCGGGGAATCCTTCGCAGAGATCCTTGATAGGGGTGGTCTGCTTCTTCTCACCAATCTTCTCGTACTTCTGCTTGTTTGTTGCAGCCTTCAGACCTTGCCAGGGAAGACCGCCGCGAAGGAAGTACATGAAGACGTGGCCAAGAGCCTCGAGATCGTCGCGGCGGGATTGTTCGCGACCGAGATGGGTGTTGATACTCATGTATCGGGCGGTACCGGACAGCGACTTTCGCTCTCTGTAAGGGATGTGCTGCTTCGTCTTGGGGTCGCGGTACTGCTTGGCCATGCCGAAATCGACGACGTGAATCACGTTGGCCGCTTTGGTGCCTGGTCTTCCGATCAGGAAGTTGTCGGGCTTGATGTCACGGTAGATGAGGTTCTTCTCGTGAATGGTTTGCACTCTCGACAGCTGTAGCAAGGGTTAGTCGCTTGATGTCACGATAAGGTTCGAATCACTCACCATCTGCTTGGCAACCATGACAACGGTCTTGATGGTGAACCTTCGGCCGCAGTGGTCGAACAGGTCCTCGAGGGAGGGACCGAGGAGGTCGATCACGAGGATGTTGTGCAGACCCTCCTGTCCAAAGTAGTAGACGTTGGGAATGCCGGCTTCAAAACACAGTCAGTAATGCTTTCGAGAGAGAGATTGTAGATTGGACATACGGCATCCAACGAGAATCTTGTACGTCCGGTACTCATCTCGCAATTGAGGGGCGTCGCTTTTGCGCGGCTCCTACGATGAGAAACAATATTAGCATGATGCTGCAGCGGTGATGGGTGACCGCGACGCCCTTGAACGACGCGGTACCCGATTGAGCGAAGTCGGCGACATACGAATTTGATGGCGACCTGTTGGTTATTCAGGAGGTTGGTGCCCTCGAAGATGACGCCGAAAGAACCCTCTCCAATCTTCTTTCCCACGCGATAGTGCACGCCGACGACGTTGCTCGATGAGGAAGCCATTGCGTCGAAGGCCTGGCCTACGTCCTCTTACGGACCGCAGAGTCGGGGCAAAGGCTGGGCCTGGATGCTCGGTTCAATCGTGTCAGGTGTCGGGTGTCGGTCGAGGCGGTCTGATGGAGTCGGTCGGGATTGTTGTATGAAGGTTGGAAAAAAATGGACGATATGTCTAAAAGGATGATGAGGGTCGCAGGTCAGCTAGCTGCTCGTTATCCCGATGCCCATTTGAGCTGACTGGTTTCGGGAGGCGAAATCAGGCCGAGAGGACGGGAAGGGGGTGGTTGCGTGGTTGTGGTTGCTTGGGAGAGGATTTCAGGAAAGGGAAAGGATGGATGGGGGAGACTGGGAGAGAATGGATGGAAATTTGGGGCAGGTGGACGGATGGCAGCCGCAGACGAGTGATTACAGTGGGTAATCCGCCCCCCGGACCACATGCACTGCACGGGGAGTGCGAGGAAGCTGGCGGGAAAAGGATGGGCTGGACCGGGCCTGGGCTGCTGGGCTTCCCAGGGCTGTTACTGGCAGGTAGCCGCTGGGTACAGATGGAGGTGGTAACTGGTTGAGAAGGAACTTGAGTGGTGCCGGGAGCCTGGAGGTGCAGTGCAGATGGAGCGAAGAAGGGGGGGGGGGAATTGGGTACGCAGTACGGAGTACGGAGCACGGGTACTCTGCAGAAAAGAAATAAAAATAAAATAAAAATAATGAGGTGAGAGGAGGTTGTGGTGTCGTGGTGGTGCTGTACACAGTACAGGCATGTTGCTGCTGTTGCTGCTGTGCAGCCAGCGCCCAGCGAAATTG